AGGGGGGGTTGCGGTGGCAAGGACCCCCCCCAGGCGCCTGCAGCCAGCCCCCAGCCTGCAGGGTGTGGAGCCTTCACAGAATGGACAGGGACCAGGGCCACTCAAACCTTCCCTGCTTTGCTCCAGCACTCCCAGGAAGCATCCAGTTCCCTCCTCCCTACGTGCTGGTCCCCTCTTCTGCTGCCCGGGGACAGCGGGAGGAAGCAGACACACTCGCCGTGTGGATTCACCCCATTTATTGAAAGCAAAGAGAAGGCAAAGAACGACACGGACGGGCTGTAATCTGACTTTGGCCTCTGGTTTTCCTGTGCGACTGACAGCACAAAGGAGGAAAATAATTCTGTGTAGGAAGAAAGAAACCAAACAGCGAAAGAGGAGACGAAAAGACCGGTAAACAATTAGTGACATCTCGTGTGAACAGGTGGAGTATTACTAATGGCAAGGAGATTCAAAGCCATGCCTAGCGTTCCTTGCTGCAAACAAGATTTGGCGGGGGCCGGGAGGGACGATGGTTTCTGAGGAAAAGCAGCAGAGGAGAAACCATCCACACCGGCCTTGCGAGCAGCGTGGTTTACTTTGGGAAGACGGTGACCACCTCGTAGCCCTCCGGGGGAACCACCCGCTCCCGTGCGTGCTTCTCGCAGTAGATTTGGTCTTCCACAAAGAAGTGTCCTTTCTGCTTGAGGTTGGTGCCGCAGTCGCTGCACACGTAGCACTCGGGGTGACGCTGCTTGTCCCGGATCTTCACAAACACCCCTCTGGGGAAGGAACCAGCACCCTCAGCATCCCGGGAACCATCATCTCCCCAGCCACCTCCTGCCCAGCCCAGCCCCACACCACGGAGAAGGTGGACAACGTTCTCCTGCTCCTGACAGGTCAAAGTATGGGCCCTACCTCTGGTCAGGCAGACGTTAATGGCACTTTAAAACCCAACATGTGCTGGCATGGGAGCCCTCCTCTGGGAAGTGCTGCCTAGCCCTGGCCTGCCCAAGTACCACAGGGACAGTCCTAGCTCCTGTGGTGGCAAGACTCACCGTGACAGCATCTTCAGCTGATGGCAGGAGACAGTGCAACAGCTTTCAGATGCCCAGGATCAAATGGCAGGCATCAGCTTGGCCATCTCAGGGAGCAAAACCCAGGTCCAAACAAACCGGATTGCAGAACAGATCCAGAAATGCCTGCCCAGCCATGGGGGATGAAGGCTTCACGTGTGGGAGAAGCTCTCCATATCTCATCTCATCTCAATCTCAGACGCTGCTGCTCGGGAGCTGCAGCAAACGGCTCCAGCCAAACGTGGGCCAGCTCTTACTGGAAAACTTCACAGCTTAACCCAGCAGACGGCGAGGAAAATGACATAGCAACTGGCTAACTACCACCAGCAGCAACGCAACGATTTGCTGGGAGCATCATTCTGTTCCAGCAGCCGTCTACATTTTCCGTAATTCATTAGGTGTTTTTTTAGTGCTATTCATAGCCTTGTGCTTTCTCTCCAGATCTACCCAGCTGGTAGAATAATTGTCGGGTTTGTCTCTGATCTGTGTTTTACAGGCTGTGGAGTGCCTCTGTAATGCCTCTGCCAGTCCCTGGTGCTCCAGGCACACCAGGACCATGCTGTCACACCATCATGGGTCTCAGCAACAGTCTAACTGCTGGGCGGCATGGGAGAGATCTGAGTCCTTCCACCACGGCGCAGTGGGCTACCGGCACGCGTCTGCTGGAGTCAGCTGTGAAGCTAAGGGGGCTGCGGGGAGGAATTTGTGGTTGAGGACAGTGAATCCAAGACACGGGCTGGGTCCCTCGTGCTGTCATGCTCGTGGTACAGCAGCTCTGCTCTGAGAACCAGGGCACGTCCCCGCTCCGTGGCTGGGAGTGCCACGGTGTAAAAACCATCTAACAGCCGGGAAGGGCATCTGGGTTGTGGGGGCTGCAAACCGGTTTTGGGTAGGAAGCCAAACACTGTGCCAGCAGCCGTCTCCAGGTTTGGCTCACAGGCACTTGCTTTGGTTTCTACCATATGGAGCTGCAGAGGGAAACCCAGCTCCTGCCTCACTGCAGGGAACAAGTTAGCGTTATCAAAGCTGGTGGGAGTAAAGGTGCCTCTGGCCGGCTGCTGGGGACACTGGCTGCGGGTGGGTGAAGCGCCTGCAGCCCCGCACGCAGGCACGGGATGCTCAGCCACGGCCTCCAACCCCAGGGACGGGCTTACTTACACAATGCCAGCTCCGCACTTCTCGCACATGGGCAGCTTCTGGGCATTCCCAATCGAGGAGGCCACCTTGGTGGTGGGGGCTTTGACGCTCCTAAATCCAGATGGCTTGGGGGGGTCTCCTGGGGGGGGGTGGAAGGAGAGTGCTTCAGGGCATGCGGGACGTGTGGCTTCAGGCTCTTCCTCCTCTGCTAGGGAGGGGTGATGCTCTTCAACCCCGGCTCCGAGGCAGGGATTCATGCACGGAAATGGGGTTCAGGGGGGTGCGAGGGGAGGAAGGAGAGGAGGCACACAGCCGAACCTGGCCCTGGAAAGCCGAGGGTCTGAGCTGGTGGGCAGTCAGAAGGGATGATGCCATCTATTCTCATCTTACAAGCCTGCTGGACTCAGCTGCTGTGTCTCGCGTGCACAGAAGCGCAAAGCGAAGCCAAGCCACAGCTCCAGAGCCCGCAGGCAAAAGCCGATGGCAGCTCTGGGCTCAGGAGGTGGAGGTGGGCATCCTGCCCGGTGTGGGCTCTCCCCAGACTCCTGGCAGAGCTGGCTGACAAACTCCTCGCTGTGGCAGGGCCCTGGGACACCGGGGATAACCTTGTGCTCTCCCGCTGCTGCGCAGCGTGCTGCAGGGACGGTATCTCCCTGGCGCAACCTCCCTGGGGCAGGGATGTCCCACAGGTCCTTCCCAGGAGACATCTGCCGACCCGGATGCCTACAGCAGCGGATCCTAGATGCAGGACACGAGGCAAGCCTTTAAACATCTGCAGTGAGAAAGGAGCCTCTTACAAAATGACGCTGTTGATGTGACTAGCCTTATCTATATGATTTTTGCAAGAGGTTTGACGGGCAGATCCCTGGGACCTCCGACTGGGAAGGATGCCGATAAAGCCCT